GTATGTCTAGTTTAAAGGGACTGGGTATGTCTAGTTTAATGAAAAGAAGGACTAGGGGACTAGTGCTATTGACTCATAGACACCATGTTGCTTTTTCTTGGTCTATCACACTTAGAAAGCTGCATCCAGTTTTGGCTGCCATGATGTAGAAAAGATGTGGAGACTCTAGAAAGAGTGCAGAGAAGAGCAACAAAGATGATTAGGGGACTGGAGGCTAAAACATATGAAGAACGATTGCAGGAACTGGGTATGTCTAGTTTAAAAGAAAGAAGGACTAGGGGAGACATGATAGCAATGTTCCAATATCTTAGGGGTTGCCACAAAGAAGATGGAGTCAAACTATTTTCCAAGGGACCTGAGGGTAGAACAAGAAGCAATGGGTGGAAACTAATCAAGGAGAGAAGCAACTTAGAACTGAAGATAAATTTCCTGACAATTAGAACAATTAATCAGTGGAACCGAAGTGCCTCCAGAAGTCCTCCCTAACACTGGCAGTGTTTAAGAAGATGTTGGATAGCCATTTGTCTGAAATAGTATAGGGTTTCCTGCCTAGGCAGCGGGTTGGACTAGAAAACCTCCAAGGTCCCTTCCAACTCTGCTATTGTATTGTATTGTATCTTTTTTAAAAAAAAAAAAAATTTTTTTTAAAAATTAAAATGTATTCATATATTTCTTTTCAGAATTAAAAAAGACTCTTCCCCCAAAAAACAGAAAATCAAAAAAAGAAGACATAGAAACCACCTTATTGAAACATCAGAGCACTGCAGATTTAGTCAGATTTCTCTCGGCTACTCTCTATGATTAGAGTTTCTGATATTTTTATCCCAAAGAACTCCATAGTATTTAAAAATCAACTGAAAGACAACCACAGAGAACATTAAGTCCAAACAAGCACAACTACTTATGTCCAGAGAGACTGTAATGGAATATTATAACTTTCATGGAAACAGCTTTAATGAAAAAGACTTTGAGCAAACATTATAAAACTCTGCCAACTTCTGGAAAACCCATTGCTAATGTCCCTAGCAGATTGTCTTCAAAACAGGCCCCAACAACCATTGGGTCAGAGCTTCCTGCATTTTCACCAGATGTAGTGAGTTTAAATTCAACAAATCCTGGAAAGAAGAGGCCCAAGACTGTGACAGTATCAAAAAAGCAAAGTACTGGAAGCATGTCTCAGGATCAATGGGATCGACCAGTTATTCCACCAAGAAGACCAGGCTTAAGGGTGTGCTATATCTGTGGCAAAGAGTTTGGTTCACAATCTCTTCCTATTCATGAGCCAAAATGCCTGGAGAAGTGGCATATTGAAAATAGCCAACTACCGAAACATCTCAGGAGAGCACCACCAGCTAAACCTCAGGCTCTTACTGGAAAGTCTTCTAGTATAGCAGCTGAAAATGAAGCAGCAGCTAAAAGTTTTCAAGCTCAGCTCCTGCCCTGTCAAAACTGTGGTCGCACTTTCCTCCCAGATCGCCTCCTTGTACATCAAAAGAGTTGTAAACTGAAGTCTAAACCAGCTTCTTCAAACTCCAAATTGCTTACACCTGCAGGTTATGGGGCATCATCATCAGACAAGGTAAATGAGAAGGCATCGTACCTAGCTGAAAGAGGGCCCCATTGTTCTCATGTGCAGACTGCAAGATGAGATTCTACTGGAATTGAAGTTAATGGTAAAATCTTCACTCTTGATTTCAGTCACGCTAGGGTCTTATTCCAGAAAATATATAAACAAGTATTTTACATTATAAGCGAAAGGTAGCAACAACAAGCAAACCTAGAAGTTCAGATCAAGAACTGTGTCTAGGACAAAGGTGGGCAATTAATTTCTCAAAGGACTGTGGTGTGGAGGGCTGATTTATGGGGCTACAACTGCAGCCCATGCCACCACAGCCCCCGCCAACATTGTGGGGGCCCCTCCTGTTATGGGCCAGACAGGGACGCTGTCTATCCCATGGCAAGTTGTAAAATGTGGTCTAGGACAAAATAAGAAGAAAGGTGCAATCATACTATTTCATTTTGATGGAATAGCCAGCATAACACTTTGCTCTTCTATAACAATGGTATGAATTTAATGTATTTGAATGTAAAAATTAACATGAATTACATAGAACATTTTGCAATTTGAAATGGCTATAGCCATGCTAGGATAAGGACCAATACTTTTCAAAAGGCAGGTTAACTTGCAATGTAACTTCTCCTGTGATGGAAATCGTTTAGGTCTTTTTATGTATCCTATTTATGTATCCTACGTGATAGATTACTAGATGTATAATAAGGCAGTAGAGAGGATTGTAAATTGCTTCTTGCAGGGTATGCAAGGAATCCTTCATGAGATTGTCCTTTAACTGTGACTTACAAAAATTTACATGGGAAAATATATTCGTTAAACATCATCTAGGAATGCAGCAACAGCTATGAGCATCAACTAAATATTGAACTTATTAAGGTTTCCATCTCTATATTTCCCTCGAGCTGAATGTGCATAGGGAAAATTTTAAATTTAAACTTTCAGCTACTATTAAAGGACTTTTTTTTCCTTCCAGAAATAAATTTCCTTGCAGAAAAATTTGTTTCTCCAAAGAAATAATAACTTTTCTTTGCAATGGAATAAGGTATAATGGGATATAATATGATTATGTCATCTACTTCAAATATTACTACTAATAATATTATGATCATCAGATGTATGGAGTTCTTTTCTAAGTAACGAATTTACACACTCAAACAGACCTAGTGAAGTACTAAGCCAAAATCAAGCAAGTAGAATGCACTTGTAGATCTAGCAAGGACTGGTCCTTAACTGAGAGTTTTTCTCCCAGAACTAATGAAACTGCACAAAATTCAGTCAGAAGCATAACATTTTCTTTTACTACCTTTGGGATCCTTACTCTCCATACCGAGTTAGGTTCTTAAATGTACATTCTTTACTGAATTGTTTGAAAGGGCACCCAGGGCATCTATCCTAACTTGAAACAAGAGGTAATTTAGCTTATTTCACTGATTTGCTTGGGAAATTTTTAAGAATAAATGAGTTGGAGGCCTACCCACAGGGTCTTTCTATAGCAGTCTTTTTTCAAAGTTGGCAATTTTAAGATGTGTGGACTTCAACTCCCAGAATTCCCAAACCATCCAGCTGAGGTATTCTGGGAGTTGAAGTCCACACATCTTAAAATTGCTAAATTGGAAATACACTGTTCTAAAGACTGGCCTGATAATGTCTCTCACTGAACAGTAGAGGATCAACATTAATTACTGGATACAACTGAAAATATACAGTCTCAGTTGTGGGAATGAGTCAGCACTTTAATCAGAAAAGGGAGGGTAGCCTGTAGAGATTCTCAGTCAACCAGGTCATGGTTATTCTAAAGGTGCTTTTTCAAGAGGCAACTGACTTACTTGTTTTTTTTTCTTTGAAAATGTTTTGCTTCTTGGATGAGAAACGAAATGTCTTCAAAAGAAAAACAACAACAAAGTCCAGTTGCCTCCTGAAAAAAGCACCTTTGGGACAAAATGGAGGGTATTTAAATTCAGTTTTTGAAAGTTTCATGAGAAGCACTTTAACAGAAAATATAGGGGAAATAATTTCATACTCTTGGATTAAGGAATTAAAAATCCTTCTGCTTCAGCAATTTTTTGCAAGGTATACTTTTCTTCATTGCTTTTGTTCTGTCATTCTTTAATCTTCTCAACTCTTTAAAACCATAGATTACATTAAACTGTTATCAATCATTATTCTTAAAGATAATGATGGTCCCCATACAAGTCCAATAAAATAAAATAAAAATGCTCCACTGAATTTTTATCAAGATTTATTAGGACCTGATTTATTCCCAACTGAATCTTTTCTGATCTGTAGAGAAAGCCAGTTTCTCTATTATGTGCATGTTAGTTCAATATAATTGCTTTGTTATGCAATTGCTAGGAATACATGGGCTCATTTGGATTAACCAAGCATGATTGCACCTCAATAAATAGTCTACAGTACTGTTTCTCAACCTGAGCAACTTTAAGATGAAAACTGCTGAATTTTTTTTTAAAAAAGCAAAAGCTTGCTTGCCTAAGCTGTGCGTCTCTGTTTGGATATTCTGCTTCTTGAATCCTGCTTTGGACAGCTTTTTGGTATGGGAAACATAAGCATTCCAGAGATTAGTATTCTTCCAGTGAGGAAAAACAACTGTGATCTTCCATGGAAAATCTTTCCTACTTTCTGCTTTGGTTGCTCCTAAATGCTTCTAATGTCTTGTTTTGATGTTTTTCTTGTCAATCTACAACAATCACTTAATTCCCTTGGTTCTGCTTCTTGACTATCAGATACTGCCATCTGCTGCTTTTCTCTGTTGTATGTCCTCTTACAAAATAAAAATGCACGTTGTTTCTGGTATTTCCTCTCACTGTTCATCAAAAATTGAAGTATTTTTATGTTCTCACTGCGACTGAGGGGCTAATATAGAGATACTTCTTGCCTTATGTTTGCCCTATGAGGTAGTGCAGGAATACTAGCTCTGTCTTTATTGTACTAGAATAATAACAGAACATAAAGTACAGTGCTATCTTAATACTCTAACACTTTGAAACTCATCAAATTTGATACTCAATACATTTTGATGTGAAAATTTTATTCCAGCACTCATTGTGTGTTTGGTACTCAACATAAAAGTTAGAAGTTGTGGGTGTCATCTGTCTTGTGACTTGTTACATTATTCTTTATGGGGAAAATTGTTTGGTACCCATCGTTTTTGGTACTAATTGACTTACTGGAACCAATTAACGATGAATACCAAGGTACCACTGTAAATGAAGAGTTACATTAATAGAATCTTGCAAGGCTGAAAGCATTTCTCCTCTCTTTTCCTTTTGGTCTCTGGATATCTAGGAAGAGTCCCTTCTGATACATTCCTCATGCCCTCCCTCCTTCTGTGGGCTGACATATCTTTTACACGCTGATTGGGTAATGTGCAGCTCTCCCTCCTGTCTCCCAAGGTCAATCTCACATACCATTACACCCTGAAAGCCATATTTGAATTCCAGTACAACTACATCATTTTAAAAAATGAAGCCACAAAGCCTTCATTTTTTTCCAGTTTCCATGGGGATAGTTCTGTTACTCAGTTGCATTAAAACTGCCAAAGAATTTGGCAACATCAAAAAAGATTTATTAAGGCATAGGGTATTCTGGACATTATGATCATCAGATGTATGGAATTCTAAGAAAAGAGTCTACACACTCAAACACACCTAGGGAATGGATAATAAAAGAAGTGGACAGAGAGAAATAAAATACAGGAAGGTCAAGACTGACAATTCATAAAATCATTTTTGGTTCATCTAAATGACACAAACATTCATTTTCTATAGGGCTGAGTGAAATACTTTTCTGTTTAATCTTTAGCTAATAACTAGATGCTATCATCACTGGATGCAATTCTTCAAATCAAATTTCTTTCACTTTATTGTTTGCAAACTTATTTTCAGGGTCTGTTCTGGACAGATGTTGGAGTAAAGTTAGGAGGGTGGGGAACACAATTGCCTGGTCAATTCAGGGAGCACTAACAAAGGAAGAACCCTTTTCTCCAACAGTGCTAGGCAATCAGTTTTTGAAACTGAATAAAATTGAATAAAGGTGGAATCGTAACCTTTGGCTACTTACCAATTTCAACAATGTTTTCCATCCAAATCCTTAGTTTTTATTAAATCCTTAAGAAAAAAACCCCCAAATACTGGACATGAAAACTGTGAGCTTTGAAAGAAAGCAGATTTCTAAGGATTTGAATACCTTACGTATATCTTTGTATATTATGCCTGAGTGGAATTCCCCACAGTATTTTAAACAATTGACCAGATAACTGCAAGGTTCTGCAATTTGTGGCAGTCCCATTATGACATCATGACACAAATGACATTCAGTACCCAATTCCCGTCATTTATGTGATGATGTTGTAATGCATGTGATTTTTTTAATCCCTCCATCCCCCCTCCCATTTGCCATGAAAGGGCTAAAACTCCAGGAAACCAATATATATGTTGAAAGTTCATCTGTGCATTATCCCCACATTTTTCTCAATATGTTTTTCTGTTGAAGTCAATAGTTCAATACTCAAGAAAAGGGGGAGCTGGAATTTCAAAACAAATTAACTCTTAGTGTTATATTTTAACCAATTGATTTGCTGCCTTGAATGAATAATATTGAGCTATTGGATTCTTTCAAATATTGAACTATTGAACTTCATGATGTGGAAGGCAGGATGATTATTTCTACTCTGAAAAGTCTCCATTATCAACCTATTAGCAAGTACAATACATTGGTGTGTCTTCGCTTTTGCCACTCAAAGGTAATTTTGAATCTTTTCTATTTTTAATATATGGGAACTATTTCACATCTTGGAGAAAAGGGCCATATAATCCAGCAGAACTCCTTGCATTTATAAAATCTTCTCTCATCTCTCCAAGTTAAAGATTCCAGTTACGATAGGTAGATCTGCTCCAGCATTTATTAAATAGGTTTGCTATAGTTTGTTTGTATCAGTTAATGCAATACAGGGGCTATCAACTTTTTCAAATATCAAATGTTCTTGTCTTACATCATGCAATAGCATTGGCATATGTCCCAACACATTTTAAATGACTAAAATCTGACCATATCAACTTTCATATTTTTAGGTGATTGTACCCAAGTTCAAAACCAAAATGACACATGGCAATTCTTTCAATCTGAATTCTCATAACTTTAGACAAAATATTGCCAAACCAAAGACCCTACTTTATGCATCTACAATACACTTTGTGAACTAACATAAATGAGATGTTTTTACCCTCTTTTTCTCATACATTATATCTGGACTAAGTTGTCTTTTACTCCTCTGGTATGTATCCCTTCCCTTCTGGGGATCTACCTCCTCACATATTCCATTATATATATTCTGAAATCTCATTTCACCCAAATTCTATGAGATTTGAGAATGCCAACGTCCCAAAAGACTGGATTACTTAGTGAGATTTCAGTCATTTTTATTAATGAAAATAGGTTTTAACTGAATGATTTTATTAAGGTAAAATTATTATTTCAGTTATTTTAAGTTAACAGGGAGGAAGCAATTGGCATCTTGGAAATGTTGCAGGAATGTTAGACAAATATAAATCAATCCAGATTTATTATTGTACATCAGAGAACATTTTTTTACAAGTTGTTACGCAGAATAAGGCAGAGTCCCTAACCCCGGGCTGTGGGCCACTATAGGGCTGTGAGCCATTTGGAAACCAGCCCTGGAAGTGGCAGGTAGGCATGCAGTTGTATCTCCACTTGCACAAGCAATGTGTGAGCACGTGCACATGTACTCCATTTGCGCAAGCATGCATGCTGGCCATTCGCATGGGACCATCCCCTCTCTCCCCTCCCACCAGTTCACAAAACTAGAAAGGTTGGGTAACTGTGGATTAGGAGCATTTTGACAGTACTGTAAAGCAGTGTGAAGTGATATCTTGAGGGAAGGTTCAAAAAAATCAAGAAGTCAGCTCAGCTCACAACCAAAGCCTATCCTTTTTTTATGTGTGTCACATGTTTGACATCCATCAAAATGGGCTGGGGCTACAGTTACCTGGTTGCAGCTGTTAACCTATGTCTTCTACAGAAACCTCTGGAATAGACCCATTTCCAATATTTGTAAACTTTCCTTTCAACTGTTTTCTTATCATCTCCTTGATGAAATGTCCACAGTAGATTTCATAAAAAGAAATAATAACCCACTTAAAAGCTTGGAAAATCAGTCAGTCCCCCAAGAGATTCATGTAACTGGTACAAATATGTATCTATGAATTAGAAATTACCAACCTCTGAATCCATGTTTTCTAGATATTGAAATACCTTATCACACACTTCGGAGCTTGCTTTTCTATCTCATTATCAGTAGAGTTTCCTTTAATGCAACATTACTCCCTTCCTGCAGTTTAATTTGTTTTAAGAGTTAAATTGTCATTTAACTGCATTTGTTGTTTGCAGTACCCCATGATAAGGCGACCTCCTACAGTTATTTGTTATATTTGTGGCCGTGAGTATGGAACCCATTCCATAGGCATCCATGAACCACAATGTCTGAAAAAATGGCATATTGAGAACAATCAACTGCCAAAACATTTACGAAGAGCTGAACCTGTAAAGCCAGTTGTGTGTTCCATAGGAGGTAAGTTACAAACAAGCCAGCCAAGCAGATGCTGGTTAGGGATAAAGGATCACTCTTTAGGATGAAACCAATTTGAGAAAGGCTGCACCAAATTCTCTGGCATGCATGAGATCCATGGCCTCACAGTGCTAGTATTGCCATGACAATATGGCTTCTAGAATAGGTTTCAAAGGCATCAGCAAATTTTAACAGGTACTCTTCAAATTGCAGTCAATATCCTGGAATTTAAATGAAATGCTTCCATACTCTACATTTGCAACCGCATTTGACAACAGTATTATAAAAAATTAAACTTTTCATATGGAACAAGGGACCTTCGTATGGATCAGGAAGCAATCATGGCATAATTAAGAAGAACGTGTGTGATACAGATCCCAGAAAATTCCAGAATATTTTATTCAGTGGTTTCCACCACCCCCATAACTGTAATGTATATTTAAAACTAAAAAACAGATTACTTTTAAACTGTCATGACAGTTTTATAGGAGCATAGCAACCCCCCCTTCAAAATACTCAATAAAAACTATGGAAAGATTATAAATTTTGGGGAACTAGGGAATGGAATCCTGGCCAAAATTTACACCTTGAACATTTGCCCAGTTCTATGAAGTTGTCTGGACACTTGGAGACGTCCAGAAGTAGAATAGTGGAATTTATTGTAGATCCCATGGCCATCTTCGAAAAAGCAACTGTGGGTTTCAGCTAAGCATCTTTATTTAACAGATCTTCCTGCAAATCTAAACTATCCTATACAGACTGGTTTTTCTTTAAAAAAAATAATTGAAAGTCACATGAGGAGCTGGTTCTTTCTATGCCCCACTGTTGATACTTGAATTGTTTTAGCTGCTTGTCATTCAGAAGGTGGGCAGTTCAGCAGTTTGAATCCCTAGCACTGTGTAACACAGTGAGCTCCCATTACTTGTCCCAGCTTCTGCCAACCTAGCAGTCCAAAAGCATGTTAAAATGCAAGTAGAAAAAGAGGAGCCACCTTTGGTGGGAAGGTAACAGTGTTCCATGCACCTTTGACATTTAATCATGCTGGCCACATGACTATGGAGACGTCTTCAGACAGCACTGGCTCTTCGGCTTGGAAACGGAGATGAGCACTGCCCCATAGAGTCAGGAACAACTAGCACATATGTGCACGGGGAACCTTTACCTTTTAAGCATAGGAATGGAAGTTTAAATGGCTACAAGAAAGACGATCACAGATTTCTAGCAGGCATATGCAAATTCAGAACAATATTTGTGAAAGGATCAGTTTGAACTTTTGCATCAGTTCAGAAAAAGTACATTTGGACATGTGTTATCAACTCTATCAAACATCTCCATGTTGTTACCATTCCCCCGCCCCCAAAAAATTGATTCAGAAGTTCCTGACACTATTTGATACTTTAAATTACCATGGAGATTGAATTTAGAAATTTAAATGGATTTATCAAATTGCTTTTGGACTGAATCTCTGAACTGGATACTTGGACAGCTCTAATATCTAAGAACTTTTAAGATGGGTGGAAACAATCATGCAATATGTTACCCCAGTTTTACTTTTTCTTTTCCCAAAAGGTTCAAACTATATGTGATGCAAGAGTTGCATGTAGCAATCCAAAACTCTTTTTCTTTTGCCAGGGCTGGAGCTGGAGGGTTAGTGAAAAGGTGTGGGGGGTGAGAAGGAGGGAAATAGTGTTAACTTAATGTTCTCCTTAATATTCAGCCTTTTCTCCACAACTCCAGTGCTTCTGGAGTCATACTGGCAAGATAAGTATAAATACGAAACTCTGAACTTTACACAAGACAGAAAGCATTGGAGAAAACTTCAGTGGGGAACGCAACTAACAGGGAAAAGATTAAGCATTCACTTTCTCCACTCACTTTTTATCTGCAAAATACCTTCCCCCAGAGAGATACTTTTGAAAGGAGAAGAGGCCAACGTAGTGCTGCTTTACATTGCTTAATGTTAAATATATGGCATGCAGATTCATTTCCTGAAAAGGAGTATAATTGCTGCAGCCAAAAGAATACAGTTGACGGATCATCTAGTGAAGAGGTATATTATGAACATACACTTTAAAAGATGTAAAGCTTACCCTTATATGAATCATAGTTCAAGTGTATGGCTTTTTATGGGGAAAAAAGATATCATTTTGTCTCTGACAGAAATAACCTTTGTTTTCAGGAATTTTGCACTTAGTATCTTCAAATCTAGCTAATGCATTAAAAGCTGTGCTTTCAAATGCCAGTTCTTTGGAGAAAAGCAAATTATTTGAGATTTCTCTCATCTTTCTCTGCCATAAAGAATGTGAGGTTCAGAGGCTACTGGCATAAACTTCAGCTAAAGGTAGTTCTTTGCAAAAAGAAATTGCATTCAATCCCCGCTTTAAGTCAAAAACAGGAGAAAAGATGTTGATGCAAAGGATAGCAATTAAAATGCATGTCAGCTGCCTTAATCCCTAAATAATTGCAGATAAAACTGTAGCTGAAATTGCTGTGTATGGGAAAGGATACAAAAATGGACAACCTTATGTCTGCTGATTTGGCTCTTTGGGTCATTGAGTTAATAGTACTCTGAGTCACACTGAAGACATAAAAAAAAATGAAATTGGAACTAAGCGGAATTCTTTATCCCAAACAGCAAAGGGTGAAAAAGTGAGAGAATACGGCACTTTTTTCCCTTCATCCCTTTGGTTGAATAATGTTGGTTCATTAAGCAGGATTTTTTTAAAAAAAAGACATGTGGTAACAGTCTGATATTTGAAGGGTAGCAAATACGTTAAGAATGTGTAATACAGCACATGCTGAAATGGTTTCTCCAGAAGTACAAGATTATTCAGTTGTAGTTAGCTTTATGCGCCCCCTGAGACAACAAACAGAGTTTTGCTGGATTTTTCTTCCCTCATAAGGGCTATGATTTAGTTAAAACTGAAAGGCTCAGTCAACAGGTATTTCCTGAAACTATTTTCCATAAAAACCGAGTATGATTCTCTTGAATGAAAACTGATATTTTCTCTCTTTAAATTTTTTCCAGCCAAAGGTTACTATGATCTTGATGCTTTAAATGAGTCTGCATGGCAAAGTGCCCAGAGCCAGCTAGTTCCATGTGATATTTGTGGCCGTACCTTCCTGCCAGACAGACTGATTGTCCACCAACGGTCCTGTAAACCAAAGACACCAAAATAAAGTTCTCCTCATGTTAAGGATTTAAAGAACAAAATTGTTCTCTAACCTCTAGAATGAAAGTTATACACTGAAGAATCATTGAACTACATAGAATCAGCATAAAATTAACATAGTATTGATTATGTGAGTGACATATGGGACATGTAGCACCTGTGACAGTGTTTTGCAGCAATTATTGATGGAAGTGGCTCATAAGGACAAAAAGAACCTTTATAGAAACATCTGCAAGATGGAGCCTTCACAGAAACGACTGTGGCCTTCACACTGTTCAACGATTACCATTCTTCCAAGTATTGCAATGTCTGTTAAGAAATGGTTTTGTTTGAAAGACTCCTCATTTAGTAAATCATGTATAAGAATGTTTATTTTCAGTAATGAATTTTTGATTTAAGGGATCGATTGACAGCAATATAAGGACCATAAAAGTTTTGATATCCTTCATCCAAAGTGGATATAATTATTTCTAATCTTTTTTCAAATATTCAATCATTGATTTAAAACTTTGCCTATTGGTTCTGAATGTCTTGGGACAAAGGTCAACTGTTCCCCATAATTCCATTCCTCCCTCCCTCCCTCCCTCCCTCTCTCTCTCTCTCTCTCTCTCTCTCACACACACACACACACACACACACAAACACCTGTTTAACATCTACATGAAATTTCTAGGTCAGCTTGAGGCCTATTCTGGTTTTTCACTTCATACAACTGCAGTTAAGGTAACTGCAGATAAGAGACTTAGCCCACATTTGCTGGTCTTCCTGTGTCATGATCCTTTAGCCATTGCCTTTTACATGATAGAGAAAAGTTTTGAAAGCTTCTACGTATCTGCATGGATGTGTGAATATGGATGGATGATTGAAAAGATTTGTATGATATAATGCAGAATAGTATCAACCAGTGGTGGGATTCAAATAATTTAACAACTGGTTCTCTGCACTAATGACCAGCTGGGTAGGTGTGGCTCAGTGATCATGTGACCGTATGGGCATGGCAAATTCAATGTCACTCCCGCCGATGGGCGCTTTGTTTTAGCTGTTACAATATAATAAGGGTTAACTGGAGAGGCAGTTTCCGTAAGCAGGGCAATAAAGATTAGGCTAGAAACAACACCAGAATATTTCCTTCCTGCCTTCCTTACAGGATTAGCCCTGTAAAGTGGAAAAAAACAAAATAAGATTTCTTCCAACAACCGTTTTTCCGAACTGCTTAGAAAGTTAACAACCGGTTCTTCCGAATAGGTGTGAACTGGCTGAATCCCACTACTGGTATCCACCCTGAACCTAGTTTTGAATACTTTTTCCCCATTACAAATTCAAGCTTTTTTTTTTTTTTTTTTTTTTTTTTTTTTTTTTTTTTTTACAGTTCAGGAGCTGTGGAATACCAGCACAATGAATAGGAACCTTGTTTTATGCTCGCAGGTTATAATGTTATGCAGAAGGTTTGCTGGTCTTTGAGATTGCCAATATGAAGGGTAGAAGACAGGACTCAAAGTGCCAGAAGAAATGATGGATGACGATGCAATTTTCTTCAGAATTCAGGTGGGAGGGGAATACCATTAATCCTCTGTATACTGTTTGCAGACCAAAGTACAAGTTTTGTCCAGTAGACATCTGTTTTCTTTTTAATTTGCAATTATCTGATCAAACAATGACCAAGTGACCATATAGTGTTATGTAGTCCAGTTACCACTATAGAAAGAATAAGTGATAGTAAGCAACAAAAGTTTTAACACTATTAGTGAGCACAGATACTCATTTTTAATCCGAAAACTTGCATCCATAATTAGTACTATGAATATTTCTGTTGGTCCATCATAATCTTTCCTCACCTAAGTTTCTTTAAGTAATCACCTCACCATATAACAGTCTGCTGACCACAAAACATGATGTGGTCCAATAATTATTGTAAAAAGAAAAAGAATAAACTGCCATCAAGATAAAAATTAAAATAACACGTTCCTACATTCAAATTGCAGTTATTTTAGTTCTCTTTCAAAACAAACCTGGGAGAAAGATATTTCAATGAACGGAGAAATAATAAAAAGACTCAGACTGACTACTCACTCTGATTTGCCCAGCATTCGTAGAACTCATATGACATAAGGCTATATATGCAGTATGACAGCATTGGAGAAAGCAGCATTTAGGAAAAGGTCAGAAAGAAAGCCAGTTACCACTATAGAAAGAATAAGTGATAGTAAGCAATAAGAGTTTTAACACTATTGGACTGCAAAATTATCTTGTTTTTAAATTCTACAAAAAGACCCTTCTGGTGGCCAATTAGTTGTGATAGCAACCACATTTGAAATTTTGAGTGCCTTTACCAGCCTAAAAGGATTTGTTTATATCAGGTTTACTGTGCATGTAAATATGAAAACATGAACCTGATATCTTCCAACCACTGATTAAAATAAGAGAAAATAATGCTGCCCTTTGAGGGATGAGGATAGCCCTCCAGATATATTGGAAGTGCAACTCCCACAATTGCAACCCAGTATGGATTTTAGTTTCTAACACAGCAGGAAAGTGCTAGGTTGGAGAAGACTGAGACATGCTTCATACTCTTTAATTTTCAACAACTTTATAACTTCATATTTCATGAAGACTATGAGAAGGAAGTTTGAATATTAAAAGCAAGTCTCCTGTGGGAGTCAGTTGACCAATTGGTTAGATGTCTCAGATGAACCAGATGTCCTTGCTGACCTTAATGGGGACACTAAAGTGACAGGTCAAGGTTGTTGTGATAATGATGACTCAAATAAACAGGGGATCGTGGTCCAAAATGAAGAACTTACTTCAGAAAGGCAAAAGTGTGAATCAATTATCACACATCAGTCACACAAGAAGAGCAAAGCATCCAAAAACAGAAGTCACCTTCTGGTTAGTGATTCAATCGTAAGGGATGTAAATTTAGAAAAAGATATGGAGGTTTTGAAAGAGGTCAGGTGTCTGTCAGGTGTTACTGCCAGCAGAGACAAGAGGCGTATTCTTAAGATAGTCAAGAATGCAAGTAAGGACTGTGATGTTGATGCTATTATACATCCTGGCACAAATGATCTGTCCCCAAAAGATGTACTTTTTGTGCAGAATGATTGCCAGAGCTTGGGGTATGAACCAGCATGTAGCGGAGTTTAATGTGTGGCTAA